AAATCATCGCGTAACGTTACGCGCCACCGTGTCCCCGTTTTGAGCGTAATGTATTGCGCACGACGTTTGTCCCCGTAAACGCTCGTTTACACGTCGTACTGTTATCACCGTCGGGGCCGGAGTCGTTGGATTAAAAAAAAAAAAAAAAAAAACGAACTAATCAATCTCGGGCATCCCGCGTCCGTTCGCGCGTAACTCGTCCGGTACCAGAGGATACAACGTAACACGTTTTGCCGGTCGCACAGACACCGATTTCTCCCTGCGCGCCAACGTAAACGTAACGATTTCTTTTTTACTTCAAACCGACATTTGTTTTTCGATAACAACAACGGTAGATCCAATTGTTGTCGTTATCGTTACTTCGAAACCCTCCCGTTTGTACGACTTTTGTGCAAGCAGGTTCGGCATCACGGTACTCGGTCCGGGCACCAGTAAACATTCGATTTTTATTGTAACCCAAACGTATCGGTAAACTGACTCGACGCGCTTCGTACGAATTATATTTCGGACGTAATACGTTCAATCTACGCGGTTCGATACATAAATAAGAATTCGCGAACTCGTGTTCGCTGTGTTGTGGAAAAACAGAAAAATTAGTCAACACTCTGGATAGATTCGTGCCAATTTTTCTATTTATTCAACTATATTTGAACTGTAATTTTATTCTCAAAAGAATTTCCACGGCAATAAATGCGTTTATTTATTATTTTTTACTGTAACACGATAAAAACGTGCTCTGAATTTGTTGAACTGTATTCTCTTTTATTGAACTTGATGTAATGAACTCAATAATAGTGGTGTTATTTTAAGACTAGGGCAAATGGTATTTAAAGATTACCATGGAATATAGGGGTCGAAATGTATTTATAACATTAGCCTTGTATAAATTATAACCATTTAGATTTTTAATTGCTTTCTCATGGTGTATTTTACGTATGCCACACTTATGTTTTATCAGAATGAGCATAGGTTAATTTCAAGAAAGTATGAATGTCGTTCACGAAATTATTACATTTTTTTTCAGTTCTTCAAACATTCATTGTGCCTTCGAAAATTCGATAATATTGTTACGTGACACCGGCTCGATTTCAACGAGCAGTCAATGATGTGTAATTTTAATTAGACATCAGACTTTAACTTTTAAAATACGTTGATTAATATATCAATGTGTTAACGAAATTCTGATAAAAAATAACGTGAAGTTGCTTTCAGTTCCGTGACAAGAACTCATCTGTCTAGTGGTCATTTCTATCCATGTTTTATATGGCTCGTTTGACGTCATAGAAAGCTGCGCCTATTGTTTGACGATATCCAGAAGTAGGTTTACGACTTTATGGTTTCGTGGACTGTTGTCCTCGCCGATTGTAATGGTCAATTGACGTCGTTCTTCGTAATTAGTGAATTCGGAATACTCGGTATTCCTGATTAAAATATTTATTTTAAGTACGTTTACACTTATATCACATGGGTACAATAAAATGTATTATTACTTAGATATGATTCATATACTGATGTACACACCAGTATTTCCTGCTTAAAACCGTTTCGAACATTTATATTTAATTATGACATAGGTACGATAATCTTTAATGTTAGGAAGAGTATGACCAATTTGTTAACATACTGAATCGTATACTTATTAGGTACCTATTGCGTGAATTTAAGCATATTATTAAATGTAGCATATGGGAGGTCATAAAAGTATAATAATATTTAAATCTGGACTTATATAAGTAAATTAAAGTTGGTATTAATAAATACATCGCATCCGATAAGTTTGTACAACGTACGATTTAAAGTTGAAAGATAATATTTTTTATAAAATGTAATGTCAGCTAGTACAACAATGAGTTTCTTATTGAATAAAACACGATTAAAAAAAAAAAAAAAAAAATGTAATTGATTAGGTCAAATAATCAGAGGGAAAAAAAGATAACAAAAATATTAGTGAGTCTCATCCCTCACCCATAGTAAAAACCGTTTAATATTATGTCGATATTTGTGAACAGAGTATTATTTATTTTAACGAACACTATACATTAATAACAGTAAATTTGTTTGTCATTCCTTATACATACTTCATACTTTTTATTGTGTAACTGAATTAAATATGCTATAATCTATTTTGTTTACAATAATAATAGTAATGATCAAATTAATTGTATGAATAAGCACAAGCACTACGCTACAAACACAATACAAACGTAAATACAGGCACCAAATTCATATAAATAGCCGAAACTGTGTTTTGAAACCTACTCAACAAAATGTAATAACTTTAATAATCGCTAACAATATTAGTATTCAACTAGATAATGATACAATTATCTGTAATAAATGCATTTTTATCTTCGTAACAGCAATGTTCTACCGACAGTCATGTCCATAAATATACGCGAATATATAGTATACAATCATAATATATTCCATGAAAGCATTTCACTTTTCGTTACCGTAAATCTACCCTCATAAAATAAAATGCTGTGCAAAACCGAACAAATGTAATAAAGTCCACCGTACAATGTTCATTTTATGACTATAGTTGTGTATTTATAATATTTTCGACATTTGATTAGGGCAACAGGTCATAACCACACAAATACCAATTTACGTACCTAACAGTATAATGTTGGGTTTCATAGATATACTACCTACATACGCATTATTCGGTTAAAACTTTTGTTATAAATCAATATTGTAGTTTATTCTCAAATAATACACGATAAATGTTCTATTTTTATATTATATTAATTTGCATACAAAAATAGAAATACATATTAATTTGTTAACATTTATGTATATTAAATACATTTGTTTAAAATAATAGTATGATTAATTTTTTTATAAGAATATTTACATTTTTAATTTCACAGTATTTATTAGAAGTAATTCGTTGTAATTATGTTGTCTCGTATGTTGTCCTAATAATTGTATTTTACATTCGGTAAATCGTAAATTAGTTGAAAACTGTGGTTATGAAAAAGTACGTAATTTTTATTTAAGAATTGTTAGTAAGATCACCTCGTTGTTATGAGTTTCATTAGATCGTACTTACGGTAACAAGATTAAACGAATTATTTATTATTAATTGATAAAAACCAAATATCTCCTATATAGGATGTATATGATCGACAATAATAATTTCAAGTCACGTATAACACCACAAAAACCTCATACAACTTTTAGACTAGTGTTTGACGGGATTTATTTATGAAAATATATTTTTACTCAATATTTGATTTCACTTAGTAATAGTTTTGCCAGATTTTTTTGGATTAAATATCATTTTTTTTTCTTTCATTATTTGTCTTCAAATATAAAAATATTTACGGTAAAAATGTTTAGTTCAATGTTATCCTTTAAATATTATGCATTGTTTTATTACTAAAAACCTCTTTTTCTTGACAACCATCTTGTACTATTTTGTAGTTAATAAATACAAGAAATGTACGCATATGTAATGGCAATGATGTGATTCGTTTTCACAAATCCGTTGTTAACAAGTTATCAAACAATAATCGGTCAACAGTTGTATGAACACGTAAAACTTTATTTACAACATAACGTAGCGAGAAAACAATTGTTTTTGAATTCAAATATATTGTTCAGATTAAGATGGAAAAAAAAAAAAAAATGGAAAAAAAAATATAGCGCTCGAATGTCCCAGCTATATTCGCTACGTCGAAAAACCCGTGCGAGCGTTGCTATTTTTTATTCGAAACAACATTTTCCCGACGTTTCTCCGCGCTCGTCTCGATATTATTATTTTGTCGTTGGCCCTTGTTCGACGCGTACATAAACTCGATTTCGCACGTCTCGCAAAGTACTTGTGTGCACACGTACTCGTACATCTTATATCGCTCGTACGCCAATCGATTGCGAGAGAACGCGACGCAGTGGAAGAATCGTATTTCAATATATTACCGTACGCTCGCACGCGCGCGCACGCGTGTAATAATATACGTTGAAGTGTACATATTTATTAATATATACATATATATATATATATATATAAATATATATGCGTTGTGCAGCAGTATATAGTAGTAATGTTACGGCGGCTGCGAAACGTACATTATTATATTGTACAAACGGTATTGCGAAATCTCTGTACCGGATGGTGACGATGGAGGCGGCGGTGTCGGTGGTGGTGGTGGTGGTGGTGGTGGTGGACGGTGGTCCATACGACGATCGCCGAACGGATGCCGGTGAGAACCCCCCGGACCGACCGTTCACATGACCTCGCGCGTCTCGTCGATTATTTTATAATGCGTGAAAACATTACGCCGATGACGAGATCGCCGCGGATTGTGCCGCGGAATCCTGTTTGCGCGCATTGATCGGCCCGCGTCGTCATCGAAAGGGTCGCGAGGGAATCGGAGAAGAAAAAAAAAAAAATAAATGAATACATAAAAGGATGCTGAACACGGGTGTACGGGATAATGCACGAACGCGCGAATCCGGTTTGTCGTGTATAGACGACGGCCGTGGATCCCGCGGTGGACCCTGCAGCCGCCGCCGCCACCGCCGCCACCGCGGATGGACCCCCGGCTGGTCATCCCGTCACCGATACTGCACCGCCGGCAGCGACGAAGGGTGG